GATCTAGCTCTGTGGCACAGCGCCTGCCTGGCAAGCGCGAGGTCGTGAGTTTGATTCCTGGTACCGGAAAAAAAAAAAAACCAAAAAAACAAAAGACATTACCAAGAAGCTACAAAAACAATGTACAGAACGGGGGGAATATTTACAAATCATATTCTGAGTTTATTATTCAGAATATGCAAAGAACAACTCAACAACAAAAAGATAAATGACTGCTGGGTGCGGTGGTGCAGCTTGTAATCCAGGCTACTTGTAAGGGGAGGTATAGGGATGGCAAATTTGAGCCCAGCCTGGGTAACTTAGTGAGAACCTATCTTAGAATAAAAACTAAAAAAATCTGGGATGTGTATCAATGGTAGACTGCTTGCCCAGCAAGTACAATGCTCTAGGTGCTTCAACCCCCAGTACTGTGCTCCCCCACCAAAAAAAAAACCCAACCCAGCCCAGTCCAACCCAACCCAGTCCAAACAAAACAGAACATGGTCTAAAAGTGGGCAACAAGAAGCTCCAGGAGTTTAATGGATAAAGCACTGGCCTCCTGAAAATGGGCAAAGGACTTGAAGACATTTCTACAAAGAAGATGGATGTATGAACAACAAACATATGAAAGGTTATTTAACATCATTAACGGGGGGGGGAGGACTGCAAATCAAAACCATGATGAGATACTGCTTCACGGCTGCTAGGATGGCTAATTTTTTAAAGGAAAACAAACACTGGTGAGGATGTGGAATACTTGGAGCCTCATACACTGCTGGCGGGAATGTCAAATAGTGCTGCCCCTGGGGAAAACAATTTGGCAGTTTCTCAAAAAGTTAAACATAGAAGTACAGTGTGACCTGGCAATTCATTTCTAAGTACATGTCAAAAGCACTGCATTTCTGCTATCTTGTACTCTGAGTAACTAATTTAAAGGAAATATGTTAATGATTGTTACCCTCTTATCATATTGTTTTGGAATTTTATTTTTTCTCTTTAAAATTAAGGAAAAAAGCATTGCAATCAGGTACTGAAATACTTTAACGCAAGAATTCAGAGCAGCACTAGTCACAATATCCAAAAGATAGAAGCAACTTAAATGTCCATCAACAGATGAAGGTAAGCAAGCTGTGTATACACACATATTGGAGTATTGCAAGGGTGAAGTACTGACACAGTAAGGTAAGGTAAGGTAAGGTAAGGTAAGGTAAGGTAAGGTAAGGTAAGGTAAGGTAAGGTAAGGTAAGGTAAGGTAAGGTAAGGTAAGGCAAGGTAAGTACTGCCAGTAAGGTCACCTCCAAAACTTTGTGTTAAATGAAAGAAGCCAGATACAAAATGTCACTTACTGAATGATTCTACATATACGCAATATTCAGAAGAGTTAGATCCATTGAAAAAGCAGATTTGTAGTTGCAGTGATGGTAGAGTGGGCAGAAGGTTGGAGGGTAACAGCTCCATGTGTAGTAGGTTTTATTTGGAGTTGATGAAAAAATATATATATCCCTGTAACATGCTGATTTAACTCTTTTGAGAAGATACCTAGAAGGGAGATAGCAGGATCAAATGGAATTTCTATTTTTGATTTTTTGAGGAGTCTCCACACTAATTTCTTTTTTTTTTTTTCCTGGCACTGGGAATCGAACTCACGACCTTGCGCTTGCCAGGCAGGCACTGTGTCACTGAGCTAAATCCCCAGCCCTCCACACTGATTTCCACAGTGGTTGTACTAGTTTACATTCCCATCAACAATGCAGGGGAGTTCCTTTTCCCCATGTCCTCACCAGCATTTGTCGCTATTTAATTTTTTGAAGATGGGCATCCTTTCTGGGGTAAGATGGTATCTCCGTGTAGTTTTAATTTGCATTTCTCTAGTAGACAAATGGAACATAGGGAGTTCAAATAACTTCCCAAATTATTTATTTGATTTTTAAAAAATATTTTAAGATAAATGCTAATTTGCTTCATTTATACTACTAGTTTCTCTTGTTCATTGAAAAGAAAGTTTTGCCGTTCTGTTTGTTTTGTTGTTGTTGTTGTTGTTGTTGTTGTTTGTTTTTATTTTTTTTCCGGTACCAGGAATTGAACTCACAACCTCGGATTTGCCAGGCCGGCACTGTGCCGCTGAGCTAAATCTCCAGCCCCTGTTTTGTCTTTGCACAAGAGAATCTTTTTTTGTGTATTACTTCTACTCTGAGTAACTTTTTAGCCATTCTTTCAGGATCATGAAACACAGTATATTCACTGTTGTTATTCTCTCATTATTTTGTTATGAAGTTTTGCCGTTTTTCTCATATTAGTAAGAAGAGTGTTTTTATATTATCTTTATCAATATCTACTTGTACTACATCAGACAAGTTATGTCAAAAAATTTTTTTGGAATTGGAATAGACGTGGTGATTTCACAGCATTCTGAATGCACTGTCTTTCAACTGATTTTATGTTGCATAAATTTTTTATATTGCACAAATATTTTGATTCTGGTTATTGTACTTTGTTTATATAAGTGGATATCATCGTGTTTTTATTCTAAGGAAATACAAATTGAAATTTTAGGAGAAGGTGTAAATTCTCAAAGTATAAAACAAATGTGAGGAAATTGTAACAATTAGTAAATCTAGATGAAGACCATACAGGAATTCTTTCCTGGAAACTTTACAAGGATTTGAAATTATTTTGAAATAAGAACTACCAAAACAAGAACTTTTTTTAAAAAAGGTAAAAGCCAGGTGTGGTGGAATCCCAACAGTCAGGAGGCTGAGGCAGGAGGGTCGCCATGAGTTTAAAGCCAGCCTGGGCTACATAGTGACCTCAAGTCCAGCCTAAACAACACAGCGAGACTCTGTCTCAAAAAATAAATAACTACAAAAAAAAAAAAATAAAATTTTTAAAAAGGCACAAGAAGAGAGTGAAAAGACTACTAGAAGACAAATGCTAGACATGTCATTAACAAAGGCTTGGTATCCCCAATGTATAAAGACTCCAATAAGTTAAAAGAAAAAGGTAAGTGATGTACTAAAAATGGGCAAGAGACATGAACAGGCATTGCACAGAGAAGAAAATACAATTAACCAATAAATGTGTGAAAAACATGCCCAATTTTATGAGTAATAGTAGAAATACCAATTAGAATCATGAAATAGCACTTTACACTCATCCTATTGACAAAAAGTAAGTCTGGTAATAGTAAGGACCACTTTGCAGAGCATTTTAGCTTAATCTCTTAATTTGAACTTGTGCATACCCTTCAGTTCATCAGTTCTGTGCTTAGGTGTGTTCACGCAATTAAGAAATTTTTGCATATGCACACACCAGGTTATATATCACAAAGTTTCTAAGAACATTAAATCATGGTGCTAGAAAAACATAAAAGGTTAAGGATGAGTGCTATGTTCAAGTGGTAGAGCACTTGCTTACAGGGCTTGAGGCCCTAGGTTCAGTCCCCAGCACCGGAACACAGAACCCAAAAAACTTGGAAATAATTCAAATATGTAACAAATAGGGAAAGAATAAGTATATTTTTATAATATTTGTATTTAGGAGTGAAAACGAATAAACTAGAGCTACACATATTGGATGAAGCCCACACACAAGGCTGAACAATAAAAGGAAGTCTGAGAAGAAACTTAGACTACGACACCACTTAAATAAAATCCAAAATGGTAAAAATTAAACTTAAGTTGAAGCTACTGAAAATAAGAGGGAAAGAATAAGAAAATTAGGAATAGTGGTTACCACAGGGAAAAAGGAAGGGAGGGGAATGTGATCTGGGAAGGAAACTTTGGGGTCTTCAACAACTTTAGCAATGACTTATGTTTTAATCTCTGGAGTTGGAGTCCATCTTCTCATTATAGAATTCTTTACTCCTTTACAAATGCATAAGACAGTTTATAATAAAATATCAAAAAGGCATCCAGATTCAAAGTTGGTTTTCACTCCACTTGGACAAACCC